ACCATAAAAAAATCAGTGTGGCTAACCCAAGGGTAAAGTGATCATAGAGAAGGGCCAAGAGGTATGGGTAAAGAAATAAATTGAGAAAAATCTTGCATGTCATTTTTTATTATTCTGTATTTCACATGGATCCAATAGTTCTTGTTTTCTGCTGTTTTGTTCTAAACAAGGACATGACATGATCATCTTGAATGAACAAACTACTTGAATTGTTTAAAGTGGATCACAGAATCTACTGTCTTTAAAGTTAAGTGGCTGAATTTTATCATCTGAGAAAAAAGTTTGTTTTCTTATACTTCAGGATCATGAGCTGTGATAAGCATTTTCAATAAGTCATCTGTTGTTATGTTATATAAAAGGATTGGAGAGAATAAATCTTTGGAAGTGGAACATTTTTATAAACTCCATGTCTTTCACATATATTTTATGTTCTTGATAAGATAAGAATTAGTAACTTAGCTCAAAAAGAGAATAATCATGCCCTTTACTCATGCTAAATAACTCTTTCTATCTAAGTACCATAAAGGCAATGTGGGATCAAGGTCTATAAATGCATGCATATGAACACATATTTGTAGATACGGTACAAATATTTTATACTATGCATAAATATAAATTCTATCTTGAGTAAATTTTTTAATTAAAAGACAGCAGTAAATATGTGAAAAGAAAATTTAGAATACTCTATATTATCTGAAGGTTGTATGGCAACTTTTAACAAATATAGGAATTCTAGATAGATGCATTGTTTTCATGAAAAATTAAAAAACTGCATATGATGGATTATATATGAATAGTGAAAAGAGAAATGGAAAAATATTTTTAACATATGCAGCCAAAAAGGTTGCTAAAAATCTATTATAAACAAAAAAAGTTGGTAAGAAGGAACAATTTCCAATAAAAATAGGCATTTCACAGGAGAGAAAATCCATAAGGACAGTAAATATTTGAAATCTCATTGAAATTAAGGAAAATACAAATTAAAATGGCAAGTTGGAAAAAATCAAAATGTGATCATATGTATTGTTGGTGGTGAGCATGAGGAAAAGAGTTACTATCAAAACTTACTGGTGAAAATGCAATTTCATTTAGTTGCTTTGCAAAGGAATCTGATTTTATGTTTTAGAAATAAAACATGTGCCTTTGACCTACCTATCTTGATTAGGAGAATATATCTCACCAATAGAAAGTCACAAACACATAGAGACAATGTTCGATGATATTTTTGGTAGTTTTCTTTAGAAGGGGGTTGTATCAAATGCCAGGGAAAATCACACAGCATCTAATAGAGCTATATATAAAGTATAAAACCTTGTAATTCTAGTTTACTCAGACTACAAATAAACAGAAGCAACGTCTTAGAGAATTGCCTGAAGACAGCATGCATAGAACTACTTTCTCTTTGTAGTATTCTGATTCTGATTTATCAAGGTTATTGTGCTATTGATTACTGAAATACTTATGTATCTAAGTAGGTGTTTTTCATTCATAGTATGTTAGTCGACTAGCAGAAAAGTGTTGGGATTAAAATTTCTGTTTTTTTTTTTACTGCTGAAACATATTCTAGTGGAAATTTTAAATTAACTATTCCATAGAAATCCTAAAAGCAAGATGATGTTTCTCAGAAAAAGAAGGAAAAGAACTTGTATCCCCTCTCTCAAATCCTTTATAACAATGTATTGAGATAAACTTTAAAAAGTCATAGCATAATTTAGCATTGTGAAATAAAATTAACTGTCTACCTTCAGTGATGTTTGGAAGGGGAGGAAAGAAGTCAAGATCCTGGCTAGGAACATCATGTCTATTTTTATCTCACCTTTTGGAATCCTGACTTTCTGTTTAAAAGCACATGGCATCATACATAGCAGTTTCCACAAGAGTATATCTGCCAAGATCATGCAAATCTGGGACTTGCGCCCATGGCTTCTGATTCCAAGTCCAGTCCTTTTCCTTTACATCATCCCTTGTATATTCTTTGTTTAAAATACTCACAAAACCTATGTCATTAAGAATCTGTTTTTCCTCTAATGGGAGAACAGGGCATATAATCACATTGGGTAAACATTCTATTCAAGGTCAACGCATCCATACTGAGATCATTAGTAAATATCTCATTATGAACTTTCAAGAGTCACCAAATGTTTGTTGTATATTATGAGCCGATCTGTTTATATTAAGTTAATTCAAATACTTACAATAGTTTAAGGAAGAAACGTCTGTACTTTTCATTTTACAGTTGGAGAGATTTAGTCCTGGAAGATACTTGCCTAAAGCTATTTGCCAGTTGGTAGTAGAGACAGGACCAAAAAACACATCATTTTTCTTTCTGGCCATTGTGCATACATGTTTTCTATTTTGTTTAAAGTTTTGTTCTAGAGTTTAAAATATTCTGTTTGAATTGTCAAAATTGTTTTCATTACTTATTTTGTGAATTTCCATGACATGTTTAAGATAGAGGTAAATAGGTTCCCAATGGAGAAATTTGGCTAAAAAAGTCTTTTGTTGACCCTCTCTTAAGAAAATTAATAGGGGCTGGAGTCATGGCTCAAGTTGTAGAGCACCTGCTTAGCAAGCACAAAGCCCTATGTTCAAACCCCAGGACTGCCAAAAAGAAAAAGAAAATTAATGTAATAAAATTGCATTTGTTGTCTTTGAACATCCAAATTCAGTGTGTGTACTAAAACATAGGCTGTAGTTTATCTTGTTTCTTTTCTTCCACTTCACCTTTTGTGTCTCTTTTATTCTGTCAGTATCTTCTTTCTTTTAAGCAGATACCTACTTCTCTTTCTGACAATTATTACTTTTCCAATTTAGTTTTTTTCTGTCCTCTGTGCACCTTTTTCATTTTCTTTTTTCTATAAACCCCTTTCTTTATAACTTAATGCTTGAGTAACCTCCCTTCTCCATCTGTCTCCTTTCTTTCATATTCTGCAAATAATTATTAAATGCTTGCATCAGGCTAGGATTCTGTACCCTCTAAATGGCATGATCCTATCCTTAAATTTAACTGTCATAGTCATATCCTCAAGATAACTAATGATACTTTAATTTTAAAATATTGAAATGTTTAAATGATTTAAATAATATTTTACTGAATTCAAATTTGAAAAAGGGGAAATTAATATTTCAGTAACCTGTGAATAAAACCTCTTAAGAAAAACAGCAGGGCTTCTAGTAATATATTAGAAAATTTGCCTCTTTTATGAAAGCTTGCACTCACTCTATTAATATAAGGCATTAATTCCTTCTTTGTTTTAATCTCCAAAATTATTTAGTTTATAAAAGGGGATAGGACTAGGAGAAGGAAACAGGGAGCAGGAGAGAGGAAATATACATGTGAGCTGTCTTGCTAATTGTGATAAAATAAGAACAGAGGGTGGGATGCATAGAGAAACATAGTAAGGTTTAAAGAACCAGGTGTTCTTTAAACCAGGCTTAAAGATTTCAGCCTCTGTGTGTGAAGCTTAGTTGTAGTCCTTTTCATTTGTATGGAACCATGTAGATGAGTGGATCAAAAGAATGGCCATTAATCCCAAGAAGCAGTTGGTTTCACCTGTCTCATATTTCTGGAAGGTTCTCTTCATGTGCAGTGGTATATAGCACTATGTAGGTTTCAATGATTTCCTTTTGTTATATGCCTCTATTGCCCAAATAGCAGACTCCACAGGGTCCTGCTGCATCTCCAAGGATACATCAGCACTTTTTATCAAAGGCCTTTTGGTCAACTGAGGTCAGGAATGCTGATAGCAGCAGTTCCTTTGGAGCAATGATAAGCATGGTTGCAGACTACAAGGATCTGACAGTAGTTCTTAACATAATCAAGCACTTGTTACTTTATCTGCTTTGTGCTTGGAGTTTTATGCATGAAGTTCTTAATTTCATATAGTAGATAAAAGAAACAAATGAATGGCAAAAGTAGCCACTTTGATGCCTTAAATATAGGTAATATTGATGGATTATTGTTGGATTATAATTAAAAAGGAAGAGGAGGATGGAAGAGAGTTTTAAGTAGGGGAGAAGAGAAGAAAGGAAAAGAATAGATGTATGGGCTGGGAGGGGAAAAGAGGGAGGAGATTTTTGGACTAAAGAGAGATTACCACCCATTTAACTCTTCTCATTCTTTAAGTCACAGTTTAAACTCCATCTCAACCAGAATACCTCTAGCATTTTCTGTTTATTGTATAAATCCTTGTATTATCTGAACAATAGATTTACAATTAATTATGTCCTGATTTATAATCTACCTTAAAATAGTTGATTAAATATTTGTACTGCCATTTAGCCTTCTTCAAGATTATGTCTTACCTTCCAAATTAGATTTACAATGTCTTGAGTAAAGGACTATTTTTTATAAATTCAAATCTTCTTTTACAATGTCTACAATGATTGTTCTCACAGAGAAGTTAATTAACTTGGAGAAAGGATGACTGGTGTGGCAGGGAGATGACAGGAGAGGTAAACTGTATAGGGAGAGGACACAGAAATGGATGAGGAAGAAGGTTCTTTTGCTTGGGAGGATGAGTGAGAGAAGTAAGGAAAGAAACTGCTTTGTACCAATATCAGCCCACTGAGATGCTTAGGTACTGCCAGGGGTTAATAGTGTTCTTTTAGTTTCTCTTATTAGGAGTTTCATTCATTTTTTGAGATTTCCTTTAAAGAGTGAATTTAAATTAGAGGGAAGTACACTTTTGCATGCTAATAGCATTTGGGTTTGTGTAATGGGCCTATGGTTAATCTATGCATGTATTTATATACCCACAAATACATATGTATTTTAGTTTATTATATTTTCCAATTTTTATTTAATGATGAATGACATTTTAAAAATGAAAGACAAATTTTTGCAATGTTATTTTAATCAATTATATTTGAAATAATTGAGATGCAGTGTTCAAAATTTCAACTGTTATGAAAGCAGTGGTCTGATTTACAATTACATTTGGAGGAAGTTTTACTTTTCAATTTCAGGTTCAATATTAATTTTCTGTTTTTGACAATAGGACATCTCCAAGTTTGCAGAGAAAGATAATATAGTTCTTGGAGAAGGTGGAATCACACTGAGTGGAGGTCAGCGTGCAAGAATTTCTTTAGCAAGGTGAATATCTTAATATTGGTTCAGTGAGCATTTGATATAAGTATCATGCATATAAAAATAAGTGACATTTCCCCATTGTTTTATAATCTGTTTCTAGAATTAAAAGTTTGTGGAGGAGGTTTTGCATTATAATGGATTAAGAATTACTTTTAAGAACTGTAGATGATACATTACTCAGATTTTGTAAATATGCACAGTTTCTCATGGAAAGAAACAGGGAATCTGTGTGTGTGTGTGTGTGTGTGTGTGTGTGTGTGTGTGTGTGTGCATGTGTGTGTATCTGTGGTTTGTCTCTTTTCACAAAAACCTTCAATATCCAGTCAAGGCGGACTCAGCCTTGATGACCTTTTCTAGCCCTAATCAACTTATGACATAGTATTCAGATAGGAAAAGATAATGCTGAGAGAAACTAAAGCAGATACCTTAAAAGCAACTGAGGCCAATAGGAAAAGGGGACCAGGAACTAGAGAAAAGGTTAGATCAAAAAGAATTAACCTAGAAGGTAACACACACGCACAGGAAATCAATGTGAGTCAATGCCCTGTATAGCTATCCTTATCTCAACCAGCAAAAACCCTTGTTCTTTCCTATTATTGCTTATACTACACTCTACAACAAAATTAGAAATAAGGGCAAAATAGTTTCTGCTGGGTATTGAGGGGGTGGGGGGGAGAGGGAGGGGGCGGGGTGGATGGTAAGGGAGGGGGTGGGGGCAGGGGGAAGAAATGTCCCAAGCCTTGTATGCACATATGAATAATAAAAGAAAAAAAAAAGGAAAAGATAATGCTGTTTTTTTCAAAATGTATACTTTTATTGTTTACTTTAGGCGTGGTTTACTATGAGCAGAAAACACTGGAATTCTGCAGAGAACAAGGAAAGTTAGTTAGTCCCATCATGTACTTCCCTGATTCGCCTTGCTTCCACAGTGTGCACACCTGCTTTCGGCTTCTACTTATGCTCCTTAGTTTAGACAAACATATATTTAAATTTTTTGATAGCATTTATAATCTTCATAACAAAATAGTAAGGCAAATGATGTCAATAGGCTAAAAATCTGTAATCTTTCAAGAAAAATAAATAGGAAAAGCACATCTGACATTGGGGGTGGGGTTGGAGGTCCCTTGACAAAGATGCTTTTGGTCTAATCATTTAGGAGTTGTCAAAAAGAAGTGAATATAGTTAATTTGTGTCAAGAAGAAAACATTATGTTTAAATTTTAACTTTCTGTTTAAAAAATTATTGGTGATGTAGGATATCAAATGTTCCTCAAGTTTTATTATAACAAAATTCTTTTCACTGTGTTGCCAAATAGAAGTCACATTGATTCAGTGATGTGTTGGCTCCTTTCCCTTACTTTCTCCTGCTTCCAAAAGTTGAGACAGGTACTGGACAATCACTGAGTAACTATAATTACCTGGTTCCATTCTAAGGGCTCTGTGTGTGTGTGTGTGTGTCTGTAATCTAAATTCCCAATACAGCTCTGCAAAGAAAGAATTGTTCTCTTTATAGAAGAAATCATGAAGTAGTTAAGGCTGTTAGACATTAACTTACAAAAAGCTACACAGAGAAAGCATACAGTCACTATTTAAGCAAGGTCATCTTGACTCTTTACGTTAAATTATGCCTTGATCTTGGAATTATACTATGAAATAATAGATATGGATAATTCAAAGCCACAATAATAGCTTCTAAAGAATTGGAAGCTGATGAACTTGTCTGCTCATCAGACTTAAGCATTCTGTTTCAAATTTAGGTAAGGTATGGTATATGACTTCTAAACTTTCAACATAGAGTTTGTAAGGTACACACAGTTTAAAGTACTACTACAAAATATCCATTGTTGTCCTTTCAGAGTGTGCAATTTGTTGCTCACTTTAGGATGATAATATATAGTTTCTAATCTTGTGCTGGTCATAGATGTGGAGAGTGCATAGTCTTTTTTTCTGTTACTAATAACATAATACCATAGGGTAGGTAAATATAAAGAAAAGAGGTTTATTTTGTCTCATGTTATAGTCCAAGTCAAGGGGATGTTTTTGCTGATGGTCTTTTGCAAGGCATCACATGCCAAAAAATAGAATTCCTCTCTCTCTCTCACTCTCTCTCTCTCTGTCTGTATCTAGTCTCTCTTCTCAAAAAGTCACTAGAATCTAATCATAGGGGCTCAACCTTGATAACCTTATCTAATCCTGATCCCCTCCCATAGCTCCCACCTCTAAGCGTGGTAGTTGGGTTAAGTTTCTGCCCTTTTCCTACCTCACAATGGGGATTAAACTCCAATATGAGTTTTGTAGGGGACAAACTATACTTAAACCACAGCAGAGAGATAAGAAAGAAAGCAATGTGAGTAAAGGAAGACCCTGAGATTACATTTTGGTGGAGTCCTTTGGTTCTTTCATATTGTCTTCAAAATAACTTATAATATAAAGGTTTTTCTTAAGTTTTACTTTGAATTTTTGCTATTTCTAATCTGTTTCATTACTTCTTTTAATTATATAATGATGAATACAATTTTCTTGTTTTGCAAAATTACCAAAAATTACCTACAGGAGCAGAAACTCCTATGTAGTTTGGGTAGAAGTAAAGTTATTAACAATCATACTTGAAACATTTAAATGTTATTAGGAAACCATCTCATTCCTCTTCGCATGGAAACTCTATGCTTATCTTATTACTCTACATCAACTCAATGGGGATTTTACTTGCTTATAAAATTTTATTTTTTTAACTTAAAAAGTAAAATAATATGGGTATAAATTTTTATTGTGAATTATTCATTTTTTTCCTTGCTTGGAAATCTTTATGAAAGTGGTACAGAGAGATTATAGGGACCAAAATGTGAGATCACTTATATAACCATGATGGCACAGCTATCAATTTGGTGATAGTGGTTAGCACTTTGAAAAAATTTAAAAAGTAATTTCACTTAAGTGCTATAATTTATTTGCTGTTTTAGCATTTTACAGTTTGAAATAGCTTTCTTCTTTATTTTCCCCATCAAAATGCAAGATCTTTGAGGGTAGTGGCTGTGTAATTTTCACAGTTGTATTTTCAGCAAATAGCATGGCTCTTATTTCTAAGTAGACACTATTGCTAAAAACAGTTGTTTTATTTATTTTTTAAGTTAATATTTTAAATTGTATGAAGTCGGTTTGTAACTTTTGCTCATTTAGGCTACTTTAGAGTTTGCAAGACTCTTCCAGATGTGCTTGGAGTATTGTAAAAAGCCATGAAAATCATCCATGGCTTATCTCATTATCCCTCATTTAAAACCATGTACATTGTTAAAGGTATATGTATGAAAGATGTTTCTCACAGTGCTACTTCTGCCTTATGTTGTGAACATGAATGGGAGAGACTACCATACTGTAGCATATGCAGTGGAGTATTTACAAAATTCATCTCTTCTAAATGACATGATAAATATTGAGGAAATTTAATTTAATTTCCATTTTCTTTTCAGAGCAGTATACAAAGATGCTGATTTGTACCTATTAGATTCCCCTTTTGGATACCTAGATGTTTTAACTGAGAAACAGATATTTGAAAGGTATGTTATTTTATCTATATTATTATCATTTTGTGGTATATCTTCTATTATTTTCCTTGATTCTTTTTATTTATTTATTTATTTATTTATTTATTGTGTAGTACTGGGGTTTGAACTCAGGGCATATACAACAGGGTCTCTCTAACTATTTGCCTGAGCTGTCTTGGAACTGTGATCTTCCTGATCTCTGCCTCCTGAGTAGCTAGTATTACAGGCATGAACCACTGGTGCCTGGCTTCCTTGGTTATTATACCTAAAATTTTGACTTACTTTTCTGTGTCATAGTATTTGATTCTATGTCTTCATTAGGCAGCAAGCTGCTCAAGGAAGTACCCATGCTGCATGGTTTCATGGTTTAGTAGTGATGCTGAAACTATGTACCCCAACAACAGTTATCTGACTTGGTTTCAATCCTTTGAAATGATTTCATGGACTACAAAATAGTTATTAAGAGAATAGTCATTATTTTCTTCTAGAAATAAAAATTTTAAGCAATAAGAATATGTGTATGTATGAAATGATTTCATGGACTACAAAATAGTTATTAAGAGAATAGTCATTATTCTAGAAATAAAAATTTTAAGCAATAAGAATATGTGTGTGTGCAAAATGACTGCATTATTCCTAGAAGCACCATTCTCAGAATTTAGTTAAAATTTTTGCTTTAGTTCAAATTTTTATTTTAGCACATCCTCAAGATTTGAAAATATTCTGGAACCCTGCTTACTTTCCTTTATAATGTGCTAAAATATTTCAATCCTGCACTTACTTTTAGACTCATTGTAAGTATAGCAATAAAATGGTATGATAGAGATTATATACAATGAAGCATTAGTAAAATGCTAAAGTTAAATACATATATTTTATAATATGGTATTTATGAAATTGATATCTTACTTTTATCTTTTTGTATTCTTAAAGCTGTGTCTGTAAGTTGATGGCTAACAAAACTAGGATTTTGGTCACTTCTAAAATGGAACATTTAAAGAAAGCTGACAAAATATTAATTTTACATGAGGGTAGAAGCTATTTTTATGGGACATTTTCTGAACTACAAAATCTACGGCCCGACTTTAGTTCAAAACTCATGGGATTTGATTCCTTCGACCAGTTTAGTGTGGAAAGAAGAAATTCAATCCTAACTGAGACCTTACGCCGCTTCTCATTAGAAGGAGACACTTCTGTCTCCTGGAATGAAACCAGAAAACAATCTTTTAAACAGACTGGAGAGTTTGGGGAAAAAAGGAAGAACTCTATTCTCAATCCAATAAACTCTGTAAGGAAATTTTCAATTGTACAAAAGACTCCATTACAGATGAACGGCATCGAAGGGGATTCTGATGAGTCGTCAGAGAGAAGGCTGTCTCTGGTTCCAGATTCTGAGCAAGGAGATGCAATCCTACCTCGCAGCAATGTGATCAACACAGGCCCCACATTTCAGGGCCGGAGGAGACAGTCTGTTCTGAACTTGATGACACACTCAGTCAGCCAGGGCCAGAGCATCCACCGGAAGACAACAGCCGCCACACGAAAAATGTCCCTTGCCCCGCAGACCAGCTTTACTGAGATGGATATATATTCAAGACGGCTATCTCAAGAGAGTGGCTTAGACATCAGTGAAGAGATTAATGAAGAAGACTTAAAGGTATGTATAAATTATTAGTGTCCCCCGCAATCCCCAGATTGCAATTGAATGGATTGTACTATAGAGTAGGTGGTAAAATTTTCTTAAATTATGGGGTTAGGATGAATTTTATCTTAAGACCTGGAGAGTCCAAAACCTATAAAGTATGCTTGCAACTTCAAATATAAAAGAATCAACTATTGCCATTTGCAGTGGATATATCTCTTCATATAAAATGGGTTTTAAGTAAAAGCGAATGCTTAGTTTTGGATCCTTTACTACACCCATGGTATTCGTTATTATAAATTAAAGAGTGTCTACTTTATTATCTCCATGGGGTGAAATGGAGCATAAATAAACATATAAACAAATAGCTCCAGTTATATACAGATAAGAATTGTTTCTACATGGCAGTAACCTATTATATAAGGAGTATAAACATCTAGTCTCTTGACAGAACTAACTCATATTCTGGTTTATACATTGGTCTCACCTGAGTTTGTTTAGCATGGTGCTTCTGATCTTTCAAACTTGCTTTTTACAATGGGTTTCTGAAAAGGTTGCTTTGAAAAAGATATGTGAAGTTCAACATGTAGTCCTGCCAGTCTTCAGACAGAAACATTTACATTTTTTTAAGAAGCAAAATGACTTATTTTTAAAATAGAAAGTAATACAAAATAGAAGGATTTCTGCTTACTGGAAAATTTATGAGCTGCAGCTAAAGTTAATCATAGAGTTGTGTGGACTGACATGTTTGGTAGCACAGGTCATTTAAGAGCAGTGTGCCCTTTGGCAAGTCACAAGTCATTGAATATCTCCAGGCTAGAGTTTCTTCCTTTGTGAAATGAAGGAAGAAGTGATCCTTGAAACACTTACTCTATTTCTATAATTAAAAATAGGTTTTGTAAAGGATAATTCATCTGTGTGGTTTACTACCCATCTAGGTAAATTTCCCAATCCTGAGCCTATACATTTCATTGTAAAGAATGATTTCTTTGAACAGTGAGGTTACTATCTCTCAATTGCTTCTAGTTCCTGACAGTATATACTTACTCCTCCCCCCCCACCATGTTAAACATCATTTGTCTTCATATACAGACAAGGAAACTAAAGGTCAGAGAATTTAAACGCATTGTCCCAATTCAAGCAGCTCCTAGGATAACAGTGGTGGAAGTTGGATGCATGTACAGGCCATATGTAACTCCAACTCTGTACTTATATCCAGTGCTCTCTTTTCCAATTTCAAGGACCCCTTTTTGTGATTCTAGTGTTTCCTCTATGAATCTTGTGGGCATCATGAGAACAAACCTATCTTTTCCCTACGGACAATCTAGAATATCTCTTTTTCAAATTTCTGAAATGTATTTGCTCAAAAATAAAGGCTTTTATGGTAAAATAACCAAAATTAGAATTATGTAATATAAATCAGAGCTAAAAGAGAGAGACTCCTGTGATACTGAGGTCTGTTCAAACTGAAGTTGGCTTTTACACCTTTATAGCCTGCGAAATGTTAAACTGTTTGTACACACACCCCAAGAAACAAGTTAAATCAAGGCAGTTATGGGGAGCTTCATTTTGATGGTATCATTCATTTGATAAGAGGTGAGACACTGTCAAGTATTTACATGCTAAAACTGCCCTGCAATGATACAATTACAATCAGCTATATAGTTTTTAGAATTTTGAAGAGTTTTGGTGCTTCTCGGTTTTCAAAAAACTGTGTTGCTCCAGTGGATATCACACTATAAACTGATATCATATGGCATTCATAATGATTTATAATTGTGAAAATTCACTTAGCTCCAAGTAGTAATATTCCCTTATTTCTATGAATTTGAAATAAACTACAGCGATGATATGAAATTGTATGGTCTCATTATAATAGCCATCTTTTCTTTTAGGAATGCTTTTTTGATGATATAGAGAACATACCAACAGTGACCACTTGGAACACATACCTCCGATATATTACTGTCCATAAGAGCTTAATTTTTGTGCTCATTTGGTGCTTAGTTATTTTTCTGGCTGAGGTAAGGATATAAAATATTGCTGTCATTCAAAAATAAATTAAGAACAACTTGGAAGGGTGTATGCATTCACATGCACATACATATTAATTTGTGCATGTTTATATATGTGTGTATAGTGGTAAAGTTCATGTATAGTTCTTAGCTTATGGAAATCAACAACTGGAATTGCTGCTAATATTTTGTTATGTCATACATAGCATGTAAAATATGCTTAAACACAAATACTATATATGAAAAGTTATTTTAAAATAAATTTTATTTTATATATTTAAGATACATACGATTTTTGAATATATTTATATATTGTATATTTTAACATGTATGAAATGTCCTGCGATTCATATTGATTATAAAAAGATTATTATAGTGAAGCAAATTAACATATCCATAACTTGAAATAGCTACCCCTCTTTTTGTTTATTTTTGTGGCAAGAGCAGCTAAAAATCTACACATTTAGCATGGATCCCAAATGTAGTAAAATTTTATTGTCTATAAATAAAATATAGTGCTCATGTTGTACATTATACCTCTAGATATGAAGAGTTTTTATTAGAGAAATTAAAAAACTCACAGAGGCCTTTATATAAATTGAAATTAAGCACTGAAAATAACTCTACACTGAGTTCTAAATTCATTTAACTCTAGGTATTACATTATTAAATATATAGGTGATGAATCTTTAAATGACTATTGTTTCATAAAATGAGATAAATGTACATTAATGACTTAATCATTTTTAAGCAACCTTTTCAGAAATTCAAATCATGCCCTTGCTGACAGAAGTGTTGGTTTTAATAGTACCATTGTGCTTCCTGTACTATGCCTCTGCTGTCCTTCATATCACCAATTTAAAAATAAAAGAGAAAGATGCAAAAACCACAGTAGGCCACAGCACAGGATCACCCAGTGTAGATAAGGCTTTTCTTCTAGATCAGGACAGCCATATAAATGCCTAAAGGGATCTTCAGGAAACACTAGTGGGGTAAGATTGACAATGGACATGAACCATGACTCTGTCTTATTCACTCTACAAAACTGAGAAAAATAGTTACCTCTCTGAGACTTAATTTCCTTATCCATAAACTGTAGTTTGAAATAGTTCCAGATTAATAGGGCATTTGTGGGTAAAGAGACGTTGCGAATAATTAAGCACTTAATGCAGGGTTTACTACATAATCAGCAATGCTAATTGCTGCTATCATTAATGTCATATCATTATTATGAAGCTTAAGATAGCTTGAGGTGAACAAGTCCATAGCAGAGATATGAAGATTTCAATAATTCCTTTTACACTTTAACAAGAATATAAGGTTGGGTAATGTTAAACTCACACATGAGTAATAAGTAGTATATTGAAATGTATTTCAAATTTATCCCATTAATCTCTGCTATTCCTGCCAAATGACTAACATTAACGTGAATGAAACCCAGCCTGAGACCTATGTAGTCTCAACCAGCCCTTTATAATCGTTAATGATTTGAACCCTTTGTGTTGAAAAATCACATACTTTATTATCTTCAACTTATGTAAGAAAAAAGGGTCTGAATGTGGTGGTGATTTCTGTTGATTTGTAGGAACTTTGTCTCATGCAGTTCCATAGAATTGAACTTAATCACCTTTCAGAATGACATATAATTATTTCAATGAGTGGTGAGCTGTTACACATATATAGAATATTATTAACTTGCCTAAGAAGAGGAAAATGGTCCTTTGTCATCAGGCAAGAAACTAAATTATGCAAGAGAATAAATGCAGTGTAACTACCCATTATTAGTTGAGCTTTCACAATTATTATAAAAATTATCTTCTTAATGGTCAAAATGATTAATAATGCCTTTTTGTGGGCAAGAATAATATAATAAACAATGTGCCTTTTATAGCCAACATCCTGTCTGCATTGCCAAAGTAACTATCCAATTTTTGAATTAAAAAAAATGGTAATAGAAAAATAGAAAAATTTTAGCTATGTGTCAAATCATACATAGGAGCAGTTTATATTCGCTAGTGTTCACAATTCTATTGTCTTTTTCCAGTCAAAATTTACAGCTTTTCTTTTAGACTGAGCTTCTTTCTTAATATCAGTGTACCCATTTCTATTTACCATTGAAACACTACTTCACACGATGAACAGGTACTCATCCCGAATGATAGTTTAGCTCTTTTAAACCCTCATTAGGGCCTCATACTTAGAGAACCTAAAGACATGGTAAGTTACATTTCTTCCTTGATAAAAGTGATCTATATACTTTTAGTATAAATAAGAATTGCATTTCCATTTAGATATATGTTTTTACAGAGTAGGTTCAGTATGCCTCCTTTTGCAATATGAAATACTTAGCTCTTTTTGCCCTATTTCTTCAAACTTATTAAATTGAAGAAAAAAAGTCTATTCAATTTGTTGACACTCATCATTACTGTGCCATTTGAGAAGGGAATAAGTCTACCTTTGTGTTTTTAATACCGTCTTTCCTACAAAGCAATGTTTTCTGTAGGTTTTTAACTATTAAAACCAAGCAAAAGGCCTATAACATTTCTGTTATGCTGGTCTTTCTAGTGGCCCTGATTGGCTGTACATAGACTAAATAGAGAAAAATGCACATAAAAAATTAGGAGTTGTTTTTCTTGTTCTTACACAATAGCCAGAGGTTGTTACTGAGTGGAACATCAGAAGTTCCTGTATGGTGCTTCCATTCTAGGGCATTTAAGACTGTGCCAGAGAATTGTCATCTTCTGTTCTTTTATGACTTGCATTTCTCTTTGTTCATGAGAAATCCATGTGCTTTACATTATTAATAAAATGAGGGTGTAGTGTACTTCCATAATACCACTTCTGCTGTTGGCTGATAGTAATCCTCTTAGTACACTTTACTTACCCTAACCTGTATTAGGACATAATTTAACCCATGAAGCATTGAAATCTATGTATTATAGTATATTGTATTTTAGCTGGGCAGTGTGGGACATGCCTGTAATCCCAGCACTCAGGAGCCTGGGGCAGAAGGATCATAAGAGTGAAGTTACCCTGGGCTACTGTAGTGAGTTTGAGATCACCTGACCTATATAGCAAGATCCTGTCTTTTAAAAAAATAAACTGAAAAAAATCAAAAGTATACTGTGCTCTATATGATGTAGAATGATGTTCAAAACTCTGGGGAAAATGGAAGAAAAAGACCTGTTTGTTTCTTCCCCTTATTCAAGAAGATCTGTCACTCTATCAAAAACTGCATGAACATTACAACCTGAAAACATTTGGAAATGAAGTGATAGCATATACTCAATTGTTTCTATAAACCCCAAGTCATTATATCAAGCCCTTGGAAATGGTTTCATTCTGGTCAATAGGTGGTTTGGATTGGTGATTCGATGTGGAGAGAGCCAGGAAATAAGTTTGTGTTATGATGACCAGGCTTTATGTGTTGGTGACTAGTTCTTCAGATATTGCTTTGGCTATTGTTCCACTAGTAAATATTATAAAATATTTATTTCCGAGATTTAACACAATCAGAGGTTATTGGCAACACCAGTATTATTGACACTCCTTTAATTAGAACAACGGGGAATGCAATAATCAAAGAGTGACTCAGAATATATTCCCTTATCCAGGATCTTGAGTAATTTGATTAATCTTAAGAAATAGGAAGACATTTATATGAGAACAAAGACTTTTGAAAGATTCAATTATGGCTGTGTTTTGTGTCATTTTGAATTTATTTGAATTTCAAGGAAACTGTTTTTCTCTTTATTGAGATAGTGCATAGAGGCTATATGCACAATGAACAAAAGTAGGAAAGTAAGAATAATGCCATTAGATTTCTCACATCTGATAAGTGAATCTAGCTAAAATATACGTACCTTTTAAAGTTTTGTGCTTCAGAATGTAATTTCTTAATTAATGCTTACAGTTTCCTATAAAAGTTTATAACATTTTAAAATATTTTAGGTAAATTCAAGTATAAAATATGAGTTACAGGTATTTTATTCCAAGCATATTTGTTTTCCGTCTACTTATTTTTCTTCTGTGTTCATTTTCCAAATCATCTTACCCATAATTGCTTTCCTTTTCTATTTTATTCTCTGGTCAAATTATTATTGGTCAAATTATATAATTTCGGAGTCATTGCTAATATTACAATTGGAATGGCATCAACATAAGATTAAATTTACACAGGGTTTATGAGAATAAAAACATATCAAAATATAAACAGAAATATAATCAAAATATTCCCAAAACAAAGAATTTAAATATCAAAGAACTGTAAAAACCATAGTTGTTTAAAAGTTGTTTTTATTTATTTACATATGTAAAGAACATTTCTCCCTTAGCCAAATTTTTTCACTGAGAAGGCCTTACATTCTAAATAATACTAGTACCAATAATGTGCTTTCACCTGAATGCACCTTATTTTTATACATAAACTATGAATTTTATACTGTTAAAACTTTAATTGATTTTCATAAATATTAATCTCACCTTTTCCAATAACTAACTGGTCTCACAGTTATAAGCCTTCTTCATCACTGCACAGCAAGTGGAATTATTTATAACAACCAAAGAGATTAATTATCTGCCAACAGACTGATATTAATCTCTTTATAAAAAGTAAAGTATTATTTAAAACATTTAGCTGTGGTCTTAGATCTCCTGTGACGTTCAGTCAATAGTCACTGTTGAATAGAGGAGAGAATTGGTAAAGTATTTACTTCAGGGAAAAATGAACTCCATAAAATTAATGTGTTCTTGCCACAAATAATGGTGCTTAGAACAATTATTGTAGCTGCTAGATCCAGGAAAGCAAAGAAAATGAAAGTGTGTGTACTTTGATGTTGGTCATACTGAGTTTAGAAGTGTGCTTGGGAGGATAGGTAAAGGTGTTAGAAAAAATCAACTGTTTTATTCCATTCCAGGTGGCTGCTTCTTTGGTTGTGTTGTGGTTACTCAGAAAGTGAGTATTGCATGTCTTAATTTGGATTGTTTTGTTTCTGTTGATTACTTGGTTCTCATAAAATGTTTCAATATCCACTATATCTTATCCACCCGCCTGCCAGCATTATGGTCATCCTTTTGTTTCTAAGGGCACAGGGTTCAGGAGTCCCATGGATAACAAAATCTGCAGATGCTGAAGTCTTTTATTTGAAATTATATAGTATTTGCTTATAACCTATACACATTTTCTTGTACACTTTAAATCCTCTCTAGATTACTTATAATGCCTGCTACAATGTAAATGTTATGTAAAAAGTTGCAACAATGAATTGTTTAGAGAATAATGACAAGGAAAAATGTCTGTTCATGTTCAGTACAGATGCAATTAAAAATATTTTTGGTCACTGCTGGTTGAATCCATAGATATGTAACACCCGGGTCCAGAGGGTCACTTATATTTTGTTCAAATTGTGAGTTCATGGGGTTTCTGCAGCTTTTTGCCCATTTTTAAAGGAATTGGCTGTGTTCAGTTTCCATGACGTGCAATAAAATATGTGAAACAGCATTACACATTTAGTATTTTACTCTAAGTATTCTGATCAAGTAAGTTTCAATTATATCTATTTAAATGATAAGAAAACTTAACCCACTTTCTGGTAATAGAAAATTCTTGAGATTAAGAGCACAAACTATTAAACCAATGTGTTGTGTTTCTTTAGATTCTAATTTAGTGTTGTTTATGTTGTTTACATGCACTGGAAATTCAATCAACAAGTTTGGTTGCCAAATAACATTTTCCCTTTTGTTTTACAGCAACCCTCCTCAAGATGAAAGGAACACTACTAAAAGTGGAAATAGCAGTTACGCTGTGATTATCACCAACACCAGCTTCTATTACATTTTTTACATTTATGTGGGAGTGGCTGACTCTTTGCTTGCTCTGGGGTTATTCAGAGGTTTGCCACTGGTGCATACACTAATCACAGTGTCGAAAATTTTACACCAGAAAATGTTGCATTCTGTTCTTCAAGCACCCATGTCGACCCTCAACACATTGAAAACAGGTACCTGACTAGGAATACTGAATGAAACTGCCCACCCATCATCTATGAGGGCCTGCACTTTCCTTAGCTTTCTAGCAGTGGTGCTGGCTTTTGCACAGAGGCATCTGCCTTTTGTTGAGTCTCCTGATTGGCAGGTGCATTTCTCAGATATTATAGGCAGTCATAGATGTAACTCCTGGTATTTCTGTATCAGCTAATTGGAGTAACTGAGGTTGTCAGATGTGATGCTAATGGGACTGGGTAACAAATTTAGTCTCTTCTGTATCACCTTTCTCTTTGCAGATATTTGGTCAAGCCTCTTTCCAGGCATCTTGTTATCAATATATAGTACTCTTCAAAGGAGAGGAGATTTGAAGTGATCAAAGAAAACTCAAAATTCTTCTGTTAATAACATCTTTTGTTTTGTTTCGCTTTGTGTGTGTGTGTGTGTGTGTGTGTGTGTGTGTGGTACTGGGGATTGAACCCAGGGCCCCATGTATGCTAGATAAACACTTAACCACTAAACTACATCCCCAGCCTCTAATAATGTGTTTTGATAGAGTAGAACAAACTAGTTTCACATAACAGTTGAAGGATGATCAGATAAATTTGCTTCAATTTTTTTGGGGGGGTGGGAGAGATTCTAAATATATTTATTTATTCATCCATCCATCCATCCATCCATCCATCCATCCATCCATCCATCCATTCATTTGAACTTAGGGCCTTGTTGTTGGCTAGGGAAGCACTCTACCATTTAAGCCACGCCGTCAGACTTTTTTGCTTTATCTATTTTTTTTTTCTTCAGATAGGGTCCAGGTCAGCTTCAGACCATGATCCTTCTACCTATGCCACTCATGTAACTGAGGTTACAGGAATGAGTCATTGTATATGGCTTGTTCTTTGAAATACGATCTTACTGACAGTATTGTGGGGGTTGGGGAGACAAGACGACTGGGCCCATCTCCAGCTGCTACCTTCTAGCTCCACCTCCTAAGTAGCTGGGATGATAGGCTGGAGGTACAGTCCCTAACTGTGAGTGTTTTTTAAAATTATGTTTGAGACCATCTTAAAGTCACTACAAATAAGAGTAGTGGAAACAAGGGACCAAAATATTTCAAAACTTAGGGTAATAAGGTACCTTGAAAGTAATCAATGCCACTGATTCCTCTTTAGATAAATTCGCATTTAAAGACTCTGAGGTTGATAAGGAGTTGCACAAGTTTTACTCCTACAACAGTTCATCAAGCTGTCCCTCTGTGTGGCACTAAGCCAGGAAGGAACTGGTATGCAAAGCTGAATAAGTTACCGTTTGACCTGGAGAAGCTCACAGGCACAGGAACAAGGTGGATACAGAAACTTTTGACTATGAAACAAGGAATAAAATATGAGATTGAGATTTTTAGATGATTTGCATTGAAAGAAAATCTCAAGTAAGAAAAACCTATCATTTTTTTCTGGGTGACAAAATATCAGTCTTGGTATGCAGGAAGAATTTTTCTATTCTGAAGCCCTTGTGTGTCACCATAGGCTTGCATCATTTGGATACACTCATTATCATCTTCTGTTTTAGAACTAAGAATTTTACACCTAAGGGGATGTTCAATTTGCTTGTTCCAGTGAATTCATTTCAGAAGGAAATCTTAGATCCAGACAGGGTAGGGATTTGCCCGAATTTCTGGGAGCCAGAAATGAGTCATGAAATACAGTGGAAAGAAAAGGGACATTGTTTGAGGTCTAGTTACCCCAAAAAAATGGTGATCAAGGACAAATTACCTTCTGAATACTGGCCTCCTCCCTTGTAAGATGGGGAAAAGTACAATGATCTCACAGGCTCTCAAGAGAATAAAACCAGGCGGTTTACTTGCCTGTGAATAGCCAGAATGAGATGAATGTTAGCTTCCATGTTATCCCTTCTGTCTGGGGTTCTTCCCACAGGGGGTGCACTTTCCTTTCCACCTCTACTTTTCTGAGTCTCTTGTTCCCTTAAACACTGCTCACAGTTGGTTCTGAGCCTTCTCAATTTCATGCTTAAATTACTACCACTCATTTCCTTTTTCTCATTTGACTTACTTTCTGCGCTGTCCTCTGCTTTGCCGGATGACCTCTAAACATCTCTGTGTGGTTTGTCTTCCTTCTTACTTATGCTCCTGACAAGTTAAGTAGCAAGTTGCTCTTACAACATCTATATCTCCTTCTTTTACTCCTTCCATTTTTATATAAACAGATTATGCTTTTATTAAAAAACTGTGTCTGTTACTGATTCATAGTTGATTAGAACTCATTCTGTCACCTATTTATTCTCTACTATACTTGGCAACAACCAGTGCAGTGTTCTCTTGCAATTTTTCCCCAGTGTTCCCTTTTGTAATCAAACATTGACCTTGATTTTCTCTGACACCTTGCTTCAGTCTCCTGTGTCACTTCTAAATGACTGTTAGCTTATACAGACACATAGTAGGTTCTCAGCAAGGTAGGTTGAATGGATCCAAGTGTAAATGTGTCCTTTGACAGAATACTACCACTTGAAATATAAATTTGAAACATAAATATTATCACTAAGATGACAGATTTTTTTTTTACCAAAGCAAACTTAAATTCTAAACACTAATTCTAAATACCATGGACTATTTTTCAACTTTTGGGTTATTTACAGAAAGATACATAAGTATGTTTAATGAACTGTGTGAAAGAATTTATTAATCAATAAGTAGTTATCAAATAACTCCTACATAAGGCCTTTTGCTTGGGGCTATGGGTGATACCAAGTGAATGTTGAACAATCTCATTGACTTCTAGCAATTTACAATCTAGGAAAAAGATAGGACATGCACACACATCAGTGAGCTGGATTTACAGCATGCCTGTAGTCATTGTGAAACAGACCTACAGACAAGGAGAAGGAGGTTCATTCCAGCTGCAGCAAATGCCTGTCCTTTCTTGTGGGGAGCACTTGAGTTGGGCCTGAGAGGAGATACAGATTTTGACAGGTAGTGGTAAGGGGAAATGATTTTCAATAGAAAGAACCATGGGGAAAGTAAGGAGGTAGGAGAGTGTACAGTGTGTTTAAAGAATAGACTAGTTGTACAAAACCAAGATGTTTGAGTAGAGGAAGCTAGTACAAGCCAAGTGAGTGAAGGTCAAGTTATAGAAAGCATTAAATATTAAACTAAGAATTTTGGACTTTATCCTGCAGTTAATAGCTGGCAAATGATAGGATTCAATATTACTTTGTTTGTGCAGTGTCACATTACATTTTATCTGATTGCTTGTTTAACTCCTCTCTAGACAATGAATTCCTCAAGGGCAAGGAGTGTGGCTTATTCACCTCCATTATCTTGTGCCTGGTGCTTAGTAGACACTCCATACAGAACTGTTTTCTACATTGAAGCAACAAATTATCAGACTTACAAATGTGAGTTTAGGATTTAAGACAGACTGATGCTGAGATTGTCAATGAGGAGAGTAGAGAGAGAATATTGCAAAAGAAGTCTGTGTAATGGGCAGACAGGGAGGGAGAGCAGCCATGGATTCTGCATGGAAGTCAGAGGAGAGGGAGAGCTTCTTGTGATGGAATACAGACAAAGGAAATGGTGACAGCAGATCCAGGAAATTATCTTTTCTTTGTTTGGGGCAGTATTGGGGTTTGAACTCAGTGCTTCACACTTTTGAAGAAGGCACTCTTATTGCTTGAGCCATGCCTTTTTGCTCTGCTTATTTTAGAGATAGTGTCTCAGTTTTTACACAGGATGGCCTGGCTAACCATCCTCCTGTTTAAGCTTCCCACTGTCCCTGAAATGACAAGTGTGGCCACCATGTCCAGCTTTTTTAAGTGAAGATGGGGGTCTCCCAAATTTTTTTTTTTTTTTGCCTCAGGTTGGCCTAGAACTGTGATCCTTTGGATCTCAGCCTACCAAACAGCTTGGGATGACAGGCATATGCCACCCATGCCCAGCTATTGGTTGAGATGGGATCTTGCAAACTCTCTGCTTGGGCTGACCTTGAACCATGATCCTCCCTATGTCAGCCTCCCAAGTAGCTAGGATTATGTGAGCAACTGGTGTTTGACACCAGGAAATTATCTTTAAACTCAAAGTTGCAAAAGTAAGTTTGAAATAGTAGAATGGGCACCCATTCCTGACATAATTAATGATAACAGATCAGTTTTTACCTGAATCTTACAGAAATCAGTATTTTATTTTATAAAAGTTCAAAACAAAGAGACAATAACTTGAACACATAGTTATTTAGCACCTTGAACAAAATAAGAAAGTTCTAATTCCTTATATTATTGAATGCTAATTCTTATTTGAATTCTTAATTCTTATGCTGTGATACAACTTTATCATGAAATGTATTGACAAATCTTTTTAAAGCTACTTGATTTTTGAGAAATTTTCTTTGTGTTACAGGTGGAATTCTTAATAGATTCTCCAAAGATATAGCAATTTTGGATGATCTTCTGCCTCTTACCATATTTGACTTCATCCAGGTTTGTAAAAAATAACTGTCTTTGCATTTGTTAGGTTGTTTTTTCAATAATTACGAAAAGAATTAAGTGAAGTTTTGCTCATTTTTCATTTGATTAAGAGTTGAAGTCCTTCCTATTGCATAAATTTTGTGAATATCAAAAGTATTTAAAATAAGCACAAATATAATAAATCCAGTAGCAAGTCAGAACTGTTTACCTGGCCCAAGCCTGAGGCAATACCACCTTTAGATATGATAACTGTCTGTTTGGAAGTGATTTGGACGGCACTAAAGACCATTTGTTAGCAAATCACTACCCACAAGCTATGACATTTGGGGCATCACTATGTGATTGAAGTTTCCCTGCTTCCCAAAGGCCCCACCTCACCTATGAACACTTTGGCACAAATTAGCCACCCAGTTTCCACACAATAAGGACCACAGAGAAGAAACAGAAGTTAAGTAAATTGTTGAGCAGGTGAGAGGATAAAGGATTCAAGCTATGTGAGGCCATCCCTGAGTGACTGCTGTGGATAAGCCTGAATGGCAGCCAGGCTGTGAGGCTTTCTCTAGGGAGAGTAAAGAAGGAAAGTGGAGATGAAAGTGACCTTGGGGACACTGCATTAGGACTTCAAAGTGACAGGACTTTGGAGATTTGTACGTTGATACTCTTGACTATTGGACTAGGCTTGAGCACAGCTTTCTGAGTTTCCTGCCTGGTTTAGCTGAAGCTCCAGGAAGTAAATGCCACAGTCCCAAGGATCTGTTTGGAGAAACATTTGGAAAAAACACTGCCCATCTTGGGACAAGTCATTCTCACATCTTGCCCCTTCCATATACCTCCAAAATGATGCTATATTGAGAGAACTTATTAAAAAATTAAAAAGCACTGGTATGTACGTGTGTATACACAAACAACACTGGCAGATGCAGAAAAACCAGCCTTGAATTTGCCTCATCTGAAATGATTGACAATCAAATACATTTAGTGTTCCAAGTGACCTTTAGCATTTTGGATTTCCTTTAATTGCTGTGTTTAGATATGTAACTCAGCAACATCTGCTGGAATTTTTTAATTCATATTTTGTGTTCAGGTATTCAACGTGTTTCTTGAAACTCTAGACACTTGTTGCTTGTTCTAGGAGTGTAAATGACTGGTTCCAAATATAAATTATTAAATCAGGTAAAAACTGGGATGTGGACATCTTCATCTGATTGCAAAAAAATCTTGCTAATGGTGCCCTTGTTAATTATTTTTCTACTTTTGTGGTGTAACTGAGTATCTCCCAAATTAGTTGAAGCTCATCTCAAACATCCTCTGGGAAAGTTAATTTTTAGATATTTATTTTATAATTTAATGTTTTGACATATGTGATGACTCTCAGATCCTTTCTATCATGCCAATTTGAATAGTTCCTGCACAAATGCTGTTGAGGTTCATTTGTTGTTGCTTCAGAAGTGGTTAGGCAGAACTCTTATCTCAATTTACCCATTTTATTTATAATAGAAGAGGTCCTCACATTAAGGAAGCATAATATATGATCCAAGTACAGTAAAAATCTGATCGACTTTGATTTTGTTAAATAAATCCTCACAGCGTTTCTTTAAATTTATTTAGTTATGTTCAGACAACACAAATTTCGTTTTATTCACATTTCAGGTAAGAGTCTATTGCACAAAATAAGGCATAACCATAAATTTCTCTTTTTAAAAGAAGCTTAATCTCTCATTCTGTTTCTGACTTTTGATGATTTTCTGACAAGTCTGCTTTCTGTATAATAAAAATGGAAGATCTGCGTTCTATTCTGCAGATACTAGTGCTTTACCACCTGCAAAAGGGGGGACATAATCCTGTTGCAAACCCCTTTCAGTTACAAAGTTAAATGGTTCAGGCTGGCGTGCTGGATTTGAGAGGTACATGACAAATTTGGTTTTAAAGGCACACAGAGGAAAAACTTTACCCTACTTGTCTCTATATCTGAGGGAGTGATATTTTCCATGAAACAGAAGCATGTGTATTTTAAAACACTAAAACTTGGGCTGGAGATGTGATTCAAGCAGTAGAAGCCTGCTTTGCAAGTGTGAAGCCCTTACTTCAAAGCCCAGTTCCACCAAAAACACAAAACAAGAAAACCCACCCAAATACTAAAACTTTCTATTCTCTGCTTCACAAATTTAAGGGCTTCTTTCATATCTCAGTGTGTGGTTACTCAGTAAGACCTGCTCTGTGATCTATGCAATGCGACTTTTTCAGCTTCCCGAGCATCTCTATCCATCATATTAATTCCCCCTAATCTCTTGCTTAGACATTTTTAAGGAATCCCTATCATTTGTGAATTAAATGCCATATCTGGTGTTCATTGCATGGTTTTAAATAAGCCTTTAATTTTTTTAAAAAACCAATTACAAAGTGACCCTTCATTGTTACCTGCCCCTGGTTCACAGGCAGCTCTGTGAGGCCTTCTGTGTCAGGAATGCATCTGAGCTGCTTTGGTGGGTAAAGTGTGCTGCCACTCTACAGGAGCATGGTTGTGTGGCACCCTTTGGAGTCTTTTCATATTCTGACACCCCCCCCACAGGGATGTTTAGGATTTGGGTAAAGATGAATGAGAATTAAAAATGACTCTGTGTGTGTGTGTGTGTGTGTGTGTGTGTGTGTGTGCAAGTGTGCGCTTATGTTGCTAGGGATGGAAGCCAGGGCCTTGCACACACTTTGGCAAGTGCTCAACCTCTGAGCTATTGAGCTATATCCCCAGCAGGAATTAGACATGTGTGCTTATATTTCATCTTGTCCTGAAGTCCTTCCATTTTTATTTATTTATTTATTAACCTCTACTCACTAATATACCTGGCCTGAAATTACTTCTTTCTAATCTATTATGAGGTGGGAATGGGGTTTGAATTTAGGGCTTTGTGCTTGCAAGCTGAAGTTGTTCTACAGCTTGAGCCACACCTCCTGTCCCTTCTACTATGCATTAAAAGCTTGGATAGAATTTAAGATCCATTTGTATAATTACAGTATTTTAAGTAAATTAAACCAGTAGCATTAATTTTGTACTGTGCATTAATTTAGTCTCTGACCTTTGTCTCTATGATGGCCTCTATTGGAGAAAAAGGAGTTATTTTTCTCATGGCTGAAATTTATTTTTCACTCACCTTTTGGTTTTAGCTATGCTCTGAGTGATTGCAGTTGCTGGAAAACTGACTGCCCTGTGAATGTGGCATCTTTTCCAAATGTATGCCCCTTCTCTATCCTTCTCTAACCAGTGTGATATCTTGGTCAGGTGACTAACCAGTCCCACCTGTGTTAATCAACTTCCCATTACTGTAACAAATACCTGAGATAAGTCAACTTATAAAGAGAGAAAGTTTATTTTGGCTCATAGTGTTAGTGGTTCCAGTCCATGATTGTTTGGCCCTGTTGCTTTTAGTCCTTATGACGCACTTCATGGTGAGAGTGAGTGGTGGAGCAAAATCTCTTACTTCATGGCCAGGAACTGAAAAGAGAGGAAGAGGAAGAGGCTGAGGTCCCATGATCTCCTTCAATGTTATGCTTCTGATGACCCAAAGATCTCCCACGAAGTGCTACCTTTAAATGTTCCATCACCTTTCATAGCACCAAGCTGGAGAATAGGCTTTTAATGTATGGGTGTTTAAAATCCAAACTATATTTGGATTCTATTCTAGCCTAATAGTTAGTTTCATTCCTAAGAATCTCCACCATATCAACAATCCTTACAAAGGAATGATGCTTTTAATAGAAAATAAGTTAAAGATTAGAATGTTTTTCATACCCAGAGAATCATTTTCCTACCCAGCATTCAATTAAAGCATAATCAATTGGCATTATATGGTAAAAATAGCATAAGTCAAAATTAACTTAGTGCATTTTACAACAAACAAGTTCCTGATCCTAATGAAGTAACAGAATGTTTCTAACATTACCAATGCAACAGCAATCACATTTTAAGCATTCTGATATTTAATGTGATAATCCACTTAAGTTAAATCATATTCCCTCATTAAACATGAGTGGAACTTAATTTTTCTTTATTTTCTCTCTCAGTGCTCTGTTGCTTGAGAAATTATTGGCCCAATTTAAAAACATAAAAAGCAAATACTGTAGTTCGTCATGGAGGCACTTGGGGCTTTCTTATTTCATGAGTGGTACTTGTAGGCCAAGAATGGAATATGAAAGTCTCTCTTTAGATTATTGAGTGGTGTACCTAGTCCAATACCTGGTAAAGCAAAGATTGGTCCAATATGCATATATGCAAATATTCAATAAAACCTCATTGTACAACTAATATATGCTAATAACAAAAGATTTGTCCAAATACCTCTTAAATGAGTGAGGGGCTCACATTCCAGAACTAGATGATTGGAGATATAAAAGTGTTTCCCTTTGCAAAGAATGCCTGAGGCATGATCATCTGAAGTTTTATGGAAATAGCAACTCATTTAAAGATTTATGTAGATCTGAGCTACATTCCATCCCTACCCTATATACCAAAATGGAATGTGCTTCATTACATTAGCTAGAAAATGTGTGAGTCACCCATGGAAAGGAAGGAGAACTGGCTCATTGATTAGCAAATTGATTAACAGATTTGTTTATTCATTTGCTTATTTATTATTTTTGAGATAGGATCTCTTTGTGTTGCCCATATTGGCCTTGAACTTATGCCTTAGCTTCAGAGAGGTAGCTGGGAGTATAGGCATGTACCAGCAATTAGATTTGACACTTGTTGCAGATGAATACTTTCTTTATTCTTTGTTGAAATGGGTTATTGTAGAGTAAATGTGAGTACACTTACTATATTTTTAAAATATATATTTGGTGTCATGTAGAAATGTAGAATTTGAGTCTTTAACTTGATCTTAAACTGGTAAATTTGTGGCTATGGTTGCCAATAGGTTCTATTTTTCTAGTGGATAATATGAAGAGATGTCTATAATGGGTGGGCTTAACCAAAATGCAACATTCATTTGAGCAATATATAATACAGAAAAAACTAATTTCAAATTAAATTAGCCATCTTCCCAAATCATTTTTGAGCTACTAGAGAATCTCTAATTATCTCAAAGAATGGGAACAAGAGTTAGTGAGGGGAGTAAAATTTATTAAATATAATTTTTTCAATATTAAACCTGTGGAAACTACACTTAGAGAAGTTAGATAGCTTGCCTAAGTGACTACACCTGCATTTAAACCAGATATTTGAGTCAAAAAGCTCCAAGATGTATGCTTAATTTTTAAAATTTGTCTCAACAAAATAAATCCTAAAATGTACATTCATGCATACTGAAATTTTTTCAAAATAGTTTTTAAAAGGCAAGGCAAAAATATAATATTCGTTTAAAATTTATTTATCATACAATCCTTTTAAAGTATCTGGAAATGAGAATATCCTGAGATCAGAGAGCACCATGTTTTCAAAAAGTCAAAAATTTAACTATCAGCAACTTAAACAATTGTTTGAATTTTCATAAGATCTAGAAAAAAACCCTCCTTTGAGATGACTGCCTTTCCAGCAGGAACACAGCTGCCCCTTAGTAAGAATGGAGTGGAGTGGGAAGAACTTAAGTAGAAGTAAGTCCCTGATGTGCCTTGTCCACTTTATGACATGAAAATGTTCACTATCCGACATGTTTTCTTTGATCCTACAGTTGTTATTAATTGTGATCGGAGCTGTAGCAGTTGTCTCAGTTTTACAACCCTACATCTTCCTGGCAACTGTGCCAGTGATAGCAGCTTTTGTTATGCTTCGGGCATACTTCCTCCATACTTCACAGCAGCTCAAACAACTAGAATCTGAAGGTATGACATGGAATGTGCTGTGCTCTTTTGGAAACAAGCCACAAGACCTTTGGGGGACTCTCTATAATGTAAATGATTTGAAATGTGTATGTATATCAAAGGAAACTAAGTTACAAAGTTCATGTGGATGTTTTTAATTAGTGACCATGTGACTTTATTTTCGTTTTGAAACAAGTGTATAGAGTCTTACAAAGGTCAGTGTGAGGACCATTGATTCACAATTTACTTACATTAATTAAATTAACAATGATAGTGCTGCTTTACTAAAAGTTTCTCTGGGTTTCCAAATCATACTAGACAGAACTCTTCCCTTTGGCTTCAGATCCTTCTTTATGTCTGGGGGTAGCTTTTTTGTGTCCCCAATTCTACTGAGCACTTTGGGAAGCGTATTTTCAGTTACGGCCTTTGCGTTGGTGTATTTTCAAGGAGTAAACTTCTAATGAGTTTCTGCTTTGAAGGTTATGAGCTAAATCAAGTCATATGAATTCTTAATTGAAACCCATACAGCCAAAAACAATAATTAAAAAATGCCCGGTGGTAGCCAGAAATGTGAATAAACAATTAATGATCTTCTAATAAGCATCCATAGTAGCCAAGTAAAAAGGAAGGGTAACTCACTAGAAATTTTAAGAATCCCAGCTATTCAAAGTATTTCACTTAAGTGAAAGACCTCTCTAGCCAGTGACATCTATTGTCTGGTTAAGTTAGTCTTTTTTAGGAACAAACATGGTACTGTGACATTGCATTCTGTTGTTTACATGATTTGCATTGTTTTATGTGGGAATATTTCACAGGTAGGAGTCCAATTTTCACTCATCTTGTTACAAGCTTAAAAGGACTATGGACACTTCGTGCTTTTGGACGGCAGTCTTACTTTGAAACTCTGTTCCACAAAGCTCTGAATTTACATACTGCCAACTGGTTCTTGTATCTATCAACACTGCGCTGGTTCCAAATGAGAATAGAAATGGTTTTTGTCATCTTCTTCATTATTGTTACCTTCGTTTCCATTTTAACAACAGGTATTATGAATTCATTAACTTCTTAGCTAAACGTTTAAGTAAAAACTGTGTCAATGAATAAAATGCTACATATTCTTATAGATTAAAATATTTAGATGTCTTTAAACAGATTTTTGGAGTTTATTAATCAGAAATTTGTGGGTTTATCATTGGACAAATGATTTTTTGAATTTCTATTGAACAAATAATTTCTTTGATTTATTTATAAACAATATTATTCCTGCTTTTACATTTAAAAAAACTGGGATTCAGAATGTCAGATAGCAAATCCGTGATTAATAGTAAAAATCTTTTCATGATAAGGTTGGCAAAGGCTCCTGTCTTCAAAAGTAGTAGATTTCTTTATTAATGCACTTTCTAAGTAGTGGAAAGAACTACCCACATGCATAAGTGCACATTCTTATTTTCCCCTTTTCTGGTAAATTTCGTCCTTTTAACTACTGGTTGGTGAAATTTTTATCTAATATGAATATTTCATGAAGAAAAAGTACCACTGAAGGAAAATGACTTAGACAAATTGTTGTATTTTTCCAATATACAGGTTCTGAATTTTAGCATTTTGGGGTGAAAAAATCACAATGTATTTCATAATAAGTCAAATAAAAAATCTGTATAGATAAATGAGTTCCCTTTACTTAACATGTTGAATTTCTGAGCTATAAGAAGTGTTGAAATATGTTTGTGTGCATGTGTGTGTGTGTGTTTGAGTGAGAGAGAAAGAGAGAGAGAAAGAGAGGAAAAGAGAGAAGAGGAGAGAGAGAGAGAGAATGAGAATGGGCAAAGATTCAGATCAAATGTCAAAGGATTGTTTATTATAAGAACAAAATCTTGCTCAATCTGAAAGGAGGCATCATTTGGAGAGTAACAGGAAGCCCCAGGGCAAGTGGCAGCCTTGGGCCCTGAAGAGAGCAGAACAGGCATTGGAACGTCAGATACATGTGTCCTTCCCATCTCTCAAGTCCAACTACTGGCTTGCTATGGCTGCTTCATTCATTGCTCTCTCTCTCTCTCTCTCTGAAGAATAGTTTTCTTGTTGAACCAAGGCCATGTCCCATGAGCTTGATGTGGCCTCTCCATTCTGGCCCTTGAGTTATCAGTAGATTTCCTCTGTCCAATTACTAAGTCCTAGAGAGAACAGGAAACAAGCTCCTTCTAGCTCAGGGGTCTACCTGCAGACCACACAACTGTTGTGAGAATAATTGGTTTTTCCACATTTATTGTTGTTTTCAGCTGGAACAATGGGAAATGAATCTATGAAAAGAACTTAAATGGAACAAGCAAATTTTAAAAATCTCCCATTATGTAGTAATTTTGCAACTTTTTAAAAATAAAGTTTCTTTTCAGAAAAATTCAAAATATTTAAATTTTCATTTAAATTATTTGAAGCATTGATTAAAGATGGCTGAATTTATATGAATGAAGATTTATTAACAATTAATTTTAACCAATATATCATTTGCTGTAACATAATGGTTAAGTAATTGAGTCCTAGTTTTCCATGAGCAATAGTCAAAACATTTAGCAATCAGCATACTACAGACCACACAATCAATAAGTTGCCCAGCTAGAGTGAATGTTGGTCACCAAGCTGTTATCATCCCTGTCCCTGGGTCTTCTGCTATTAACTTGCATACTTTAATTAATGTCCCTAAATCCCTCCTGTGTAAAGAGACACAGTAATAATACACAGCCCATAGATTTGTGGTAAGTGTTAAATGCAGCACACATTTAGTCTGTTATACTTAGTATAGTGCCTAGGCCATGGCAAATGCCCAATAACTTATATTACTTGTTGTTATTAATTTTTTATCTTATTCTCTTCTTAGCCTTCAGAACAAGTAATATTTTGGAACCCTGGATGAATCTTGAATATTTAAAATAAATTATTTATTAGTAACAAAGCTGATATGTTCTTCTATGGCATACCTTTTGTTGGGGCTATTGTGGAAATATAAATGTCAATTAATAATAGGATGTATTTCTCCCAACTTTTGAACCTTATGACAATTTTGTCATACATTATAGATGAAAGAATTATCAATTGGGAGTTAAAATCTAATTTTTTACAATCTATTTTGTAAAATTTGTATAACCATAATATGGAATATTTTTGAATTTTTATTAGTGATCCCTTCCATCTCTTTAAAAATATTTGCTCTAAAACATAGCATTGTCCTTTCCATGTGAATTAAACTTTTTTTCTTTCTTTTTAACAGAATGGACAATCTCCTTCCAAATGGCAGACATATTAGTTTTTCTGACTGTCTGTTAATGCACTAAATTCCCTCTCTTCCAACAGCATCTGATTGGCAGAGAAAGTCATCCTTGCAACATATAAAGCACATCTAAATATCCTACAGATGCTACTCAAGTGCATCCTTTTTCTGTTTTTGGCTTTCTTGTAGAGGAGATCATCTGGACACAGGATTTTCTTTTCCATTGCCCATGCAAATATTTGAAGGGAGAAACATGGTGGTATCTACCCAATACCAACAATCTTTTTTTTTTTTTTTTTTTTTTGTACTAGGGTATGAACTTAGGGGCCTTACACTCACAAAGTAAGAACTCAACACTTGAGCAGTGCTTCCTGTCCTTTTTGGTGTTTTGTGCCCAGATTGGCCTCAGACTATAAGCCTCCCGTATAGCTTGGATGTAGGTGCAAGGCATCACACATGGCCTTCAGTTACTCTAAGACACTGGTTGAATGTTTACTGTAAAGGATATTATTCCTCCTGATAAATGTTGTGGTAAATGTAGATGAAACAAGGTCAAAGTCAGCATAAAACTGATTGTGAATTTAATGTGATGTGCTGCATAAGAGGTATGCATCAAGTCATTCACAGAAGAGAGGAATAACACAAGATTTGTTCATGTTTTTTCACGTAGTGAAGGAGAAGGATCAGTTGGTATTATTCTAACTTTAGCCATGAATATCATGAATACATTGCAGTGGGCTGTAAACTCCAGTATTGATGTGGATAGCTTGGTAAGTCATTATTTTTTGTTTTATGAAAAAATTCCGACAATTCAAAAAGTATAGGTAATAATGTAAGGACTCAGTATATGCCCCAAATCATCTTATGTCTTAAAATATTGTAGATAACTTGAAGGCCACTCTACCTCTCATTAAGGCACATCTCATCTTTCTTCCACGTAGATCACCACTATGAACTTCTGTTTCCCTTAATTTTGCTTGTTCATGTGGATTGCTCAGTTTTTAACTAGACTGGTTTGGGGTTTTTCTTAATTGATTTGTAGGAGTTTATGTATCTTGAATCCATTGCCAATTTATATATTTAAAATACAGCCTTTTAGTCAGTAGCTTTGCTTATTATGTCTTTTAATGAAAATAAATTTTTAAGTGTAGTGATGATCAGTTTATTAACCCTTTCCTTTTATGGCTTATCCTTTTGGTATTTTAATTAAGAAATCCTTCCCTCTTTTGGGATCTTAAAGTCAGCATCATAACACTTTTCAAATATTCTTTTCTTGTTTTTAAATTTTCCATAGTTTTAGTGACAGCTCTCCTCCTCCAGTGTTTACATTGCCTTTTCCTCTCTTGTTTATCAATGTTGTCATACACTTGTAGACTTTATAAGTGTGTACAAAGACCGTATTTTGTTGTATTGCTTCTCTTGTCTTGGATCCCTAGAATATAGTGCCTTCAGGGATGTTTATGTGCTGACACTGAATGAAGAATACAAATCCCATGGTGGCAAGAATTAGGGATGTAAGGAATCTACACAGAATTTTCCACTGTTGCTTAAAAAAAGAAAAATCAAAGTGTGTCAAGTGCCCTTTGCTCATGCTGTAATCCTAGTTACTTGGGAGGCTGAGATCAAGAGGACAGCAGTTCAAAGTCAGTCTGGGCAAAAAAGTTTGTGAGCCTCCATCTCAACCAATAGCTGGGTATGGTGGCCATGCCTATCAACCTAGCTACAGCAGGAAGCATAAAAGAGGAGGATTGTGGTTCAGGTCAGAGTAGGGGAAAAAAGATCCTATCTCCAAAAAACTAGAGCAAAAGGATGGGAGGAGTATAGAGCTCCTGCCCAGCAAGTACAGAGCCCTGAGTGCAAATCTCAGTACTACCCCTACAAAAAAATTAAGGCACAATTTCAGTCAGACTGTATAGGTGGCCTGAGTACTTTATCATTGACTTCATTTAGATTTTTGGATTAACTGTATTGAAAATCATCCATCCATTACATGGTCTCAAACTAGTACATTCATTCAACTATAAAATTTGTAATCAGAAGAAATAGTGATTAAAATTATAGTAATATCTCCAGGAGGCAAAACCTTTTAATACCTCTTCTTATCTATGTGTCTTTACATTTTTTTGATAATTTAAATAATCATTGAAATGTCATTTAATCTTAACATATTTATGGTAGACTTTGCTTCTTTTCCTTTAACTTGTTTTCATTTGACTAGTTCTTTTTAGCATCTCCTTTCTTCCTAGTCTTAGTCCAGTGTACTTTTGGAGTTAGAGTCTCATAAACATATGTATAAATATTTCTATACAATATAGCAAGAGAATTTCAAATAAAAATTGTTCTTGAATTTAATTGTTCAAATTTCTACAACCTTGACTTTACATTTTAAAATCCTTGTGTACCATGATAAAAGCGAGAGCACACAAGGGAGGGTGAGGATAGAAAGACACCTAAAAAACTAGCTAGCATTTGGTGCCCTTAATGCAGAGAACTAAAGCAGATACCTTAAAGCAACTGAGGCCAATAGGAAAAGGGAACAGGTACTAGAGAAAAGGTTAGATCAAAAAGAATTAACCTAGAAGGTAAGCACCCATGCACAGGAAATCAATGTGAGTCAATGCTCTGTATAGCTATCCTTATCTCAACCAGCAAAACCCGCTTGTTCCTTCCTATTATTGCTTATACTCTCTCTACAACAAAATTAGAGATAAGGGCAAAATAGTTTCTGCTGGGTTTGGGGGGGGAGCGGGGTGGAGTGGGTGGTAAGGGAGGGGGTGGGGGCAGGGGGGAGAAATGAACAAGCCTTGTATGCACATATGATAATAAAAGAAAAATGAAAAAAATAAATAAATAAATAAAATCCTTGTGTAACATTACCTATCTCTTTATGTAAAAACATCTCTTTACCCTGTACATGTACAATTTCTTTCTCTTTGTCATTACTTTTCTTGGTTTGTGTAATAGCCTATAATAACAGTGATGTCAAAACCTTTTTCAGTGCATTCTGCTCTGCAGGGGTGATCTCCACTGTAATTGCTTTAAGGTATTTTTACTTTTGTAGTTTTTCGCATGGGCATCCTGGGCTTTTGACCTGTGCTTTGACATTGTGTCTTTCATCTTGCCACATAAAAGAACCTTTGCAGGACCTAATCATGTTATATGAAAAGTATTAATATTTGTATTTGATTTCGTTTTTTAAAAAGTAATGTTCTTTTGTTTGACTATCCAAGTAAAATATGGGAGTTTCATTTCCCTGCCAAATACCAGTAGTGGCCTTTCCTGGGTGTTCATGGGTATTTATTTAAGTATTAATTCCTCATTATCATATTACTGTTATCTATATAGGCTAAAGCTATATAGTGATATTTTTATTTTCAGTTTGGCATTCGTTGAGAGTAGAAAAAGCGATCTCTTAGATTTTATGTTTGTGTGAAGCTAACACCAAAGGTCCTATGATTTCCAAAGCAAAATCTCATGTTGTTTTACTTTACTGAACTGTTACCTGCATTTAGAGCAAACTGAATTAAAAAGAGAATAAGAGGAATGGTTTGTTTTATACACCATTTTAGTTTTTAAAGTACAGGACCATTCAGAAAAAGATCTTTTTTTTTAAACCAATGTGGCCTAGTTAACATGTAGGCAGAGTCAAACATCTACAGGACCATTAATTTATAAAAGTGGGAATGTGGCTTTTCTTTCATTTCCCACCTTTCCTTATCCCAGATACCTAGTTTTTCAACTAGTAAACAATATTTGGATGATAACACTTAACTGCTACTTCAACTTACTTTGTATTTATGATCACATATCTCAAATACTAGTGCTGGAAATTGTTCATTAACCTTTTGATTATGTTTTCCTAATAGGTTACTTATTTATTCTCAAGATATTTCTTTCCTCTCTTCCTGTCTCCTCTTCAGTGATCCAGTAAATTCCATTCCTTGCACTTTCTGCTAATGACCTCATGACATACCTCATAGAAATAATATGTGTGACAGGAGAGAAAGTCTTCACTTCTCCCGGCCAGCTGCATCCACTTTATTGAACTCTCCTCCAGTCCCCTGCCTCTCATTCTGGTCCTTTCTCAACAGCCCAAAAATACTCTCCCTTGATCTCCAATTGCCATCCTATTTCTTTGACAAACAAAACTTCTTTAGAGAATATCTCTCTCAGTTTCCTTCTCCATTGTTCCCCCCACCTGCTTCATTTGGTTTCCATCACCCACTTGGCTCATGACCAACATTTTGCCAAAAGCTGATGTCCTTGCTTCCATAGTTGCTGAGCACATTTGCCATGGACCAATCCTGATGCCTGTCTACCTTATTTTTCTGCTATTCCTTGCTCATCCTTACTCCTTTGTTTGTTTGTTTTGTGGTACTGGAGTTTTAACTTAGGGCCTAACTCTTGCTAGGCAGACACTCTAACACTTGAGCCACTCCATCAGCCCTCCTCCTTACTCCTTTGTTGGCCCTTCCTTTTTTGCAGATTTTTAAAAATCATCCATAATGTAGATTTCTTCTATCTGCATTCTCTAGCTATTGTCACCTAATGTCATGTTTTAGAAACTATCTTTGATTGAAACTATTCCAGGAATTGAGGGGAAGGGAATAAAGGAGAATGATGGAGGGGGTGAATTTCAACCATGATATCACTGTAACAACTTTTATAAAAGTCACAATGTACCCCAGTGCAACAATAATATAATAAAAAAGAAATTAAAAACAGAAAGTCTCTTTGGTGGGTCATAGATTTCATATCCTTAATGTAGGCTTCTCTGCTGCTCTCTAAACCCAACTACTATCTTGAACATATCCATGTTTTCATAAAACCAATACTATAGTGTTTTCCAGTATGACCTCTTGGGCCATGAATTCCTGTACAGTTTCTCCTCAAAATATACTGAGAGTCTTAAGGACCATTAAAATAACATAAAGTTTCCATTCTACTCACCAATTTTTCTGAAATATTAAACAAACAAATAAACAAGAGTTGAAGCTCCTAAAGGTTCTTGCATGGTTGATGCAATCTAAGAAGGTTTTTCTGTCAATAGAAACTCCCTCTGTTTCTTCTTTGTTCTTCACTGCCTTTGTTTATTTTTTGGTTCCAGTAAAGATCAAGTAACTGATTGTACAATCACCAATGTGAAACCTGCTGGAAGAAGGGCAATCTGGCCTTTCTTCATGGTTCTTGATGCCTAATGCTTTTGTATTAAAAGCACTTTCTGATAAAAGAATCTGAGAGGAGGATTCATTTGTCCTGTTTTTCTTTTACCTCCTTTAGTAGTCTCTTGATCATGTCTTTGTTTTTTTGTTTCATACATCAGTGCAGCATATTTTATTCTCATGGATTCTGTCTCAGACTTCTTTCCACTCAACCATTCTCTTTCCATCTCATAGGGTGGCTGTACTAGGGAGAAATTTGTCTCCCATTCTGGCCTTGCTATTGAAAAGTCATGTGGCTTTAAGCTTATCAAGGACCCCCACCATCCAGGGCCTCATTTTTCTCATCTGTTAAATGAACAATTTTGTTAGGAGATTTCTAAGGTTCCTCTTAGTTTGACAGTCCCTTTTCTGAAATCTTTTTGTATAAAAAAATCAACTCTTGCTTAGCATATAAGTAGGCTAAGCATTCCTGCCCTATGCATGAGTGCCAACTCCATTGAGTAACTTACCCACCAGAACTGATAGTCTGGAAAATGCGTTACTAAAGCCAATGAAGAAAAGTAGACACTATGATGATCTAGAGTCTTGAATTAATGTAAGAGACTTAT